CCCGGGTGAAGTGCAAAGGACTTCAAGATGCATGTAGAATTCATTTTACCTATGCTTTTACGTGTGTGTCAGAGGAGATGGCTTCTCAGAACTTACATTTCCTTGTCATCCACGTTAGCATCAGTGTAGGTCTCCCTGCCAAATCTTCCTTATCTCCGATCACCCTTTTCCTCTTGTTCTCTCATCAGTGAAGATGAAGAACAGCTGTTCAATTTTATGGCTTCAATTAATTTAATTTATATCTACTATAAACATGATTTCTCCAAAACGTAATAGAACATCTCAGTTTGGCATGTAGAAAAGGCCTTCTCTCTCACTCTAATCATTTCCAATAGATGTGCTTTACTGCTTTAATTTATGTTTTTGTTTCTGTTATTATTGTTGCCCTTTTTTTAAAAGCAGAATTTTATTTTTATGACTAATTTTTCCTAAGAATTCTTTGGGCATGTCTTATTCCAAAATCCTAATAATTTAACAACCCATTCCACAGACAGATGCTCTTGATAAGACAATGAAATAAAGGTTTAAGAAATGCTGAATGGTCTCCAAATCAGCAAAAACTCAAGCAGTTGTCGCAGCTTGTCAGAGGTGGTGTGGATGGAGCTCAGAAACAAAGATGAAGATCAGAGCTCATTTTATGTGTGTGTCTAGCACTGCAGCTGCTATTTCACACAAGACAGAAATATCAAAAAGGGAAAGCTTGGACTGAAATGAAGTGCCTTTTTTCCACTAGATGACCCACCCCTTCCAAAGGACGGAGTGAGCAGTCTTTTGCAAGGACTGATTAGTAGCTTCTACCCACTGGTTGGCTCTGACCTGAGGCCCAGAGGGCAAGAATGAAAAATTTAGAAATAGGCATGTGATTTCTACACAGAAAGTTGCATAAGGTTTGAACCACAGGGCTAAACTTTCTCCTACAGTGTGGATTTATGGCCTCATATGTGTATGGGAGGATGCAATAGCAGATCTCAGAGTGAACCAGCTGCTTCTGTTCCGGGCTGAAATATCTTACCCTTTCACCATGTGCAAATCAGATTACTTCCTTGCATACAAAGTTTCCTGTCTGGTCTATCACCTCGTCCTTGGTGGGCTTAGAGACATTCTTTCACCGTTTCAGATATCCACAAAGCTGACCAGGATTGTCTTCAGGGATTCTACGCTAAGGTTTTCAGGGATGAGAGCTTAGATGTTAAAGCAGATGTTTCAGTTTCCATTGTTAATCCAATTTCTTTTTTTCCTGGAAGTGGCACTGATTAAAAATTACATATGGAGCAGAACCAACTCGATTTTTAAACAGGGCAGGTAAGAAAGATCTAAGAATCTTTCTAAGAGATTTGTTGTTTTCACTGTTAAGTGTTTTAGAAAACATAAATTCTAACAGTCTGCTATTTCAGAGCCTGTTTCAGTAGCAGATTTGCACTACTGTCAATAACTCCCCCTGTGTGCTGCACCCCAGTGCCCTTTCTGAAGTCCACAAATGGCTTCATCTCTAGTCTGAATTCCTTTCCTTGGGACTGCGCTCTATTCCTTCAATTCCTGCTTCGATTTTCCTTTAAAATTCCGGCAAAGAGTCCCCTCTCCCAGGAAGTGTTCGCTGATTTAAATTTAGTATGTGTCATGGTTGTGTCTGAAAGCCTCATGTAGTCACAGGTGGGGCTTTTTCAGAGGAGCTGAATCTACAGTGTGTGACTCTGGAATTGATTCCTGGAGCAATGCTAGGATCAAGGGCATGAGGATGAAGGGCGGGAGTGCTACCCGCCCTGAGCAGCCTAGATAAGGTAAAAGGGATAGAAAGAGCTGTGGTTGTCCTTTGTTGCTTTGATACCTTCTGCATGCCGTGAACTGTTTCTCTTCTGCGATGCTCCTCTGCCATACCCCACTGATTATAGACTGAAACTTCTACACACTGTGAGCTAAATAAACCTTTCCTCCTTTAACCTTGGGTGTCAGGTAGTTTGTCTCAGCAACAAGAAAAGTAAACAGGACGGCATGTGTGTCCTGAACAGGCCTTCTTTCTGCCTTTGCCCTATTGTTCTGCATGTGATCTTGACAAGGGTTTCTTCACAACTGCCTTGGGAGGAAGTTGCTATTATTGCCAAGGTCCCGGAGCTAGGACCTAACACAATCGGGATCCAGAGACCCTGCTGTTAACCACTTCCCTGCACAGCTCCGTGCTCAGTTGCTACCTCCTCAGCCCTGAGGTAGAAACCCTTAGAAGGCCAGCTCAGCAGCTCAGAGCTCAGCTGTAGGGTAAAGGGTCACTTCAGAGATAACTAGTATCTGCACGATGTAGTGGAGATTTCACTGATGTTCTCTTCAAAATATACCAAGAAGTACATGCAGGTACTTGTGAGAACAGCCATAGCACATAATTGGCTTCATTCCAAAGAAAGTAGGTAGTCTACATGACTAGCTTAGAGACTAAGCTGGGTTGGGCTGGGTTGCATTTAATCAGTTGGAATTTATAAACCCAAGAGACAGTGCTCACAATGAATACTGAGTATATTTATCCAATCTTCACTGAGTACATCTAAATACCCAACTCTGTACCAGGTAACATATATGTGTTGAGTGAAGACAAAATGCTTTTTCTACGAAGCTAATGTCTATTAGAGGAGCTAGACTAAAATGTGAGAATGTGATATACTTGACCATAACATGTGCTCTCCTTCGGAAAACTTTTGGTGGATAGATAGAGATTGAGTGTGGGTAAAGAATTATGCAGATTGCTTTTTATAGGAGGTGAGGGAAAGCTTGTAGGAAGAGACTTAGAAGAGAATTCTATAGGAGAAAGAGCTGGCAATGCTCATATCTAGGGGGAGGGCACATTTTGGACTGCAATCATAGTGAAAGGAAACATCCTTATCCATAGTAACAAGAAATACCCTTATTCTTGGCATGTTTGTTAAACAGAAAGAAGTTGTTCCTTATGCTAAATGTTCAAAGGTAAGTTGTTTACTTTCTCTGAGTCTCATTTTCCCTACCTACATGGAAGCCAGATGTTAACTATGGCCTTTCTAGGAAGATAGAGAAGAAACTAACTTAATGCACCCTCAGTCCCTGCTGCAGCCAATAAAAGTCCAAAGCCCTCCCCATTGAAGATTTTTCAGTTTTTGAGAGTTTCTGTTCTGATATGCTGTCCCAAGCCCCTAAGCCCACATGTGCAATTTTTTTCTCCTGTGACTTTGACCAAGAAGGGAAACCTAGGCCCTTTGAGAAGAACCATAGAAAACGTTGTTCTGAGTACAACAGCCAAACTGACGATTTGGGGGTCCTTTGAGGGATTCCCAGCCCGCCTGAACAGGAGACAGGGATGAAACTTCAAAGAGCTGTCCTGGGAAGTATATCGCCTCTTTCTCATGCTTGGTCTCTAATTTTCTGGCTCCTCCTCTTTTCATTTTCCTCACCTTTTCTTTCCAGTAACTAAACAAGAACTCTCTGCTTCTTCTCTTGCCCTTTGCCTCCAACATCACAAAAGCTCAACCACACCAAGAACATCTTCCAAAGTATTTGCTTGAATGAACACGGTATCATCTCTACACCTAGTGCTGGAGCCAATTTTAGGAAATGGTTTCTTTTGACATCCCTACATTTAAATTGGAGGCAATTGTATTAAGTTTGTTAGGTTACTGGAAGAGTTACATGAGAAAATGCATGGACACGTGTTAGTAGCATGACTAGCATAAAGTAAATGTCCACTGAACAGGAGCAATGGTGGGTGTGACTACTGTGGTGGTTGTAATGTCGATTGTCAACTCACTACTAGTTTGAGGCCTGGCAATTTTGGAGCTTCACTTAGAAAAGTAAAGATGAGGAAGGACTAGGAAAGTTCTAGCTACAAAGAAGAAGAAACTAGAATACTGAGGCTACACCACGAGGCAAGGCAAAACAAACACATTCCTAGAAACTTGGCAGTAAGGCACAGCGAATGGAAAAGTGATGGATGCAGAACCAAGCAAATTTATTTTTAAAATAAACTCACTTGTGATCTCTCCTACAATGTGTGATACAAATTTGCAGAATGCAACTGTAAGAGCACAAAAGCATTAAAAACATTAATACTCCCTCTCCTAGCTTGCAAAAGTCTCAAAAAGAATGAAAAATGGGGAAAAGGTTTTAGTTGCCAGTGAAATAAGGGTATGACTACAATCACAAACCACAAACCGTGGAGCAAACCTGCCAAACGTTATGAAATCTGGACCCAAATGAGGAAGAACACAAGGAACTGGTATCATTTCTTCAGATCTTGAGCAAGATGGACATTCTCCCAAAGGCAAGTGAGACTACTCTGAAATGTTCATCCAGTGATTCTTTAAGTGATGGAAGATCCACGACCACAGAGGACCACAGCAAAAGATGACTCTTCCAACGGAGATCCAATTTGACAGCTCAGAACACTGCTGATATACAAGAAGAGGAACTGAGGGGGGTACAATTTTTATCCACTGCCTTTCTCCTAGCTCAGGAGATGACCAGTGCTGAAATGAGTAAAGCAAGTGGAGGAAAATAGCATTTTTTAAATTACCAGGATTTCAATGCCAAAAACTGAGTAGTGATACAAATGCCCAGGTTAAGAACAGTAACTCCCAAGTTTGAAGCAGGACTGCGGAGGTGATATACTCTGAGCTTCCTAACATCCTCTTGATTCTCCTTCCCCCACTGCTATGGTTTAAATGTGTCTCCAAATATCACATTTTGGAAACTTAATCCCCAGAGCAACAGTGTTGGGAGGTGGAATCTAACAGGAGGTGACTAGTTCATGTGACTAGTACGGAGTGTGTTAGTTATTGTAAGTGTGAGTTATTATGAATGTGAGTTCACTCCTTTTGCTCTTCCCATTTCTTTCCATTTTCTTTTCCTCTCAGGATGCTGGAACACGAAAGCTCTCACTAGATGCTAGAGCCATGCTTTTGGACATCCCAACCTGTAGCACTATAAGACAAATAAAATTCTGCTCATTACAAATTACCCAATATCAGATTTTTTTGTTATTGCTGCAGAAATTGGATGATGACATCCACCAAGTATTTTTCAGCAAATTTATGAGATGAAAAACCAGAAAGAGCCACCTCATAGATCTACTTTGAAGTGAGAGAGAAAATAAAGAAGGAAAACTCCAAGACAGGAACTGCAAGGTAAAGCCAAGGAAACAGAGGAAGGAAGAGTTCAGACAAGTTTCTCAAAGAAATTATAAGAGAAAATTTAAATGAAAACTATTGGAGAGAAGAAAGTCATACTAGAAACAATCAAAATAAGAATAAATCTAAATTAAAACAGGCAACACTTTTCATTCATTCATTCATTCATCCATTCATTCATTCACTCAGTGAAGAACTACTGAATCCTTCATATGCTAAACGCACTTTTAAATGCTAAGGATTTAGCAGTGTTTCACGTGGACAACAATTCTTCTCTTCCCTAGATTGGAGAGCTGACAATCTAGGGTAAACAGGGGAGACAGATAAAGAAAATTTAAAAAGAATAAATTTTAATCGTTTTATGAATAAAAGTAAAATAAGGCTACATGATAGTGAAAGTTTTTGCGTGGTCGGGAAAGTTATCTCTGACCACGTGACATTTTATCTGAAACCTATAGAACATGAGTGATTCAGACCTGCAAATACCTGGAGAGATGGTGCAGGCATATGCAGACATCTTTAATATAGGATTGTTCAACTTATAACTTTTTAACTTTATGATGCTGTGGAAGCAATGCACATTCAGTAGAAACTGTACTTTGAATTTGGAGCTTTTCCTGGGTTAGTGATTGCTCTGTGACAGTCTCTCGCGATACTAGGAAGTGGTAGCAAACTGCAGCACTCATTTAACCACGTGCTCACAAGGGAAGCAACTCTATCCTGCACTACGTTCCTAAACTATGACGCTTGGTAGGATAGGAATTTTAAACGTATTTCCAATTTAGCATATCTGCCATTTATCATTGGCTTAGAGGATGGAACTCTATCGTAAGTCAAGGAGCATCTGTATGATAACAGTAAAAAAAGATTATTGAAAAAGATAGACATGAGTGAGAGATAAAGAATGTCTAACAATTACCCCATTGGTGTTTACAAAGAAGAAATGGACACAAGAAACAGAAATTTTATTTTATTTTAGGACAGGGTCTTGCTGTGCAGTCCAGGCTGGCCTTGGACTTGTAACTCCTTTGCTTCAGTCTTTCACATGCTAGGATTGAAGGTGTGCACCACTACACCACAGAAAATGTACTTTGAAATAGGAAAAATAATCCCCAGCAGGGGATATAGCACAGAAGCACAGCACCTGCCCAGCAAGCACAAGGTCCTGAGTTCGATTCCTGGTGCCAAAAACAAACAAACAAAAAACAATCCCCAAAATAAATGTTTATGTGTGGAGATCAAGAGTAATGCTGTAATGTAAACTTGATACTTGAATGATCAATGTCAGGGCATAAAAACAATATGGTTATCCAACCCAATTAATCTTGTGAAAAATTAATATGGGTAACCTGACTGGTCTTGTGGCTTGCTATGGGCTCCAGCATGTGGTGGAAGTCATGTCGGAGGGTTTTGAGCTTCGGTTTGAAGAAGCCTCATGCACTGCCACTCTCCCTCTTCCAGCCCTGCTCTCATCCTCTGAACAAACCTGGCTAGCCTGCAGGAGCAAGGGAGACCACTCGGTCAGATTACCCCTACTGCCCTGCCAAGAGATAACCACATACCATACGTGCAAGTTAGATGATTCTACGCCAACTGGACTCCAGCTGACCCATGTCCTGACTCAGTCACTCAAGATCAGCCAAGCCAGATCAGCAGAACCGCCCCATGGCCCTGTAGGCCCATCAGCACTGATAAATGATACTTACATTCAGCCACAATGTTTTGAGATGATTCATTGGGCAATGAAGCTTACCGATAAGTATCTCAATGTTTTTCAAAACCCTTCTCTTGCCTTTAGAGAGCTAATGTAGGAAATACGCTGTTTTTTTGTAATGGAATGTTTGCCTGATATTCAGCACATCCAATTATCATTTTCTCTCAGTAGTCATGGAGGATAGGTTCCAGGACCACCTGTGAATACCAAACCCTGTGACATCTAAAGCTCTCATATAAAATGGCATAGGTTTGCATGAAACATTTGCAGTGTCTCTGTATACATTAAATCATCTCTAGAATACTTATGATACTTAATACAAAGTAAATTCTATGTAAATACCTGTTATATTGTGTTGTTTAGGGAATAACAAAAAGTCTGTATATGTTCAGTAAACATAATGCTTTTTTGAATAGTTTTGATCCATAGATGGTTAAATCCACAAAGGATACAGCGGGCCAACTGTATACTTTACTTACATTTTCTTCAGTTAAAATTTAATATTTTTAATTAAAAATAGCACTGAATACATTTTATTTACATTTTCACTGTGAAAACTGATTCCATTTCATCCCAATTTTACCAACTTATCTATCTTTAACTTTATATACATATGGAGGGACTCCAGGAGAAATTTTCACCAAATCTTAATACATAGTTGTTCTTTCCCAGGAGCAAGATATTGTATAAATTTTGCCTTGTTCTTTGTAGTTTTCTGTATTGTTGGATTTTATGTTAACGGATACGTACCAATAAAATACTATATAAAATACTATAAAAACTAGTTTTTATTAAAAGTTCTTTTAAGAAGAACAGGACAGGCAGGTAGGAAAATCTCAAGGAAAGATAGTGACATATTGAAAGGAAGTACGAGGAATATAGAGTACTCCTTGACTAGAAAATGAACATTTGTAGGAAAAGGGCTGGCATTGGAATAAGGTCTCCAGATCAGTTGTTAGTACTGGACCAGTGTTAATCAACCAATTTGATCATTATGGTTATGTAAGATGCTATCAATAAGAAAAGCTGGATGGGGGCTGGGGATTTAGCTCAGCGGCAAAAGCGCCTGCCTGGCAAGCGTAAGGTCATGAGTTCGGTTCCCAGTACCAGAGAAAAACCAAAAAAAAAAAAAAAAAAAGAAAAAAAAGAAAAGCTGGATGAAAGGCAAAGGAAATTTTAAATACTATTCTTGCAAATCAATCTAAAATTATTTCAGAACAGAAAGGAACATGAAATTGTAGTAAACTGTATAAATAAAAAGTTGGGTTTATCTTCCTTTTGAAATATAAAACCTACTTTTCTTGTGGAACAAATGAAGGAACAGTTTTAAAATGGCCAATAACTAATGCATATAGTGAGTAAAAGTTGTTATTATGTAAATGCTGATCTTTTTGTGCATGTGTGGTGGTGGTACTGGAGATTTAACTCCAAGCCTTTGCTACATCCCCATACTCCTTTTTAAATTTTTTATTTTGAGACAAGTTCTTGCTAAGTTGCCCGGGCTGGGTTTCAACTCCAGATCTTCCTGCCTCAGTTTCCCAGAGTGCTGAGATTATAGGTGTGTGGCACTGTGCCTGGTCAGTATACTAATTATTAAATGACTTTCTTTATTCATAGTATTGGGGATCAGATCCAGGGCCTTGGGTATGCTAAGCCAGTGGTCTACCCCTTAGCTTCCCTAAGCTACTGCCCCAGACCTTGATTTTGATTTGATTCTTTGAGGGGGAAGCTTATTAACGTAAGGTGTTTAATGTCTGTAACATGCCCTCCTTGTGTTAAGAATACTTTAATGTTTTGTCTGTCAAAAATCATACTAACTCTATATTCTATACAAGTAGAAGTTTACGTACTTCTTACACTTTTTATATAATTATTAATACATTGCCAGTTTAATTTTAAGATTTTGCTTACTTTAGAGGAATAAGTAATTAGTTAGAGCACTATGCTACATCTCCAAGTTAGCAAAATGTGACAAATATTTAATATGTATTAGTCAGTCATATAAGCCTGGTGTTCAGGGTGCATTTAGGGGACAGATTGACTGGTCCAGGTTGAACCAGTGGGTTTTTTGGTTGAATAGTGATCTACTTTTTATCAGTTATACTATTCTTTACATGCTTTATTTTGGAACCATGACTGACCGATATGCACTCCACACATCACAAGCCCGAACACTCTCTATGTGTATGAATAAACAATGCCGATACATTCTGATTGTTTCATAAAGGTGATATTTTTAGAAAGAACAGAATAGTTGCATCTGAGATTCATTGTAGAGAAATTCCCTGGTGGATTCTGACACAAACAGAAAAAAACAAAAACAATGAAAACCTTAGAAGCCTATAACTGATTAAATAAATTGAATTTTCCTCAGTTGGGAAAAATACTGATTTCTTTCTTATAAAGGAGCAATATTTCACACCAAGAATATAGTATTTGTTTACAAAAGTTATGTTTGGGATTTCTAACATACTACTGTCAAGTCAAATGTTAAGAATGTTAATTAGAAAAAGGAAGGGAAGGAGTGGGTGGGAGGTGGCCATCCACACACCCCACCAAACAGCAGGGTGTCTCGAATTACACAGTAAGTATACGGAGGCATTCTGGAAACAAAAGAGATAATAAATGATAAAGCATCTGGCAAAGAAGATGGGAAAAGTGCTGTTCGAAACAATATATTCAACAACGCACTGTTCTAATTATCTGCCAAAATTTAAGTTTTAGTTTGTCTCGTTTATCAATCTGTGATTACTAGCTGAGTTTTATTTCTGCTTTTCCCATTGTGTGCATTCTTTGGATTAGTTCATAGTCTCTGTTAAAATAGTTTCTTCAAAGAAAGTTTCAAAAGGCAGAGACAGTTCTAAAGTCTGTGGGGCCTGGCAAGTGCAAGGTCGTGAGTTCGATTCCCGGTACTGGAAAAAAAAAAACAAAAAACAAAAAACAAAACAAAACAAAATAAAGTCTGTGGGTAAGTTTTTTATTTTAAATATTCTTTTTAATGATCAGCCTATGAGTCCAGGCAATAGATAGGGAAGAAAGACATACCCACATTAAAATCAGTTTTTTAAATCCTCAGTGTATTTCTAGCTTACCTTATTTAGATATTGTAGTACATACAAATGTCTGTAAATAGATTGGAAAATTATTATTTTATTTATCTTTTTTAGTCTTAGAGTTCAAGCAAAACCATCTCTTGAGCAATGTCTCCCTACATTCAAGGGTGGGACTTGATAAGTCAAGTCTTAATGATATATACTGTATTTGCCTTTTGCTCTTCAATGGCTTGGTTACCCTGTAAGTTAAAGAGGCATTGTGCAGTCTCACAGGTCACTAGCAAGTCCATTTAAAGTTAGCTCCACTTAAACCACACACATATGCTGAATATAGAAACACTCTAAAATGTTATATTTTTAGGAAAAATGCCTGAAAATGAGTGCAAATGTTACTGTGGTGGATTGACTACTGGTGGTCAACTTATAACACCCAGATAAACCAAGCAACGGTGGTGCTGGGTGTGGGAGGCCCACCTGAGGATTGCTGCTACCAGCATAAGAGGCAGCACTGGAAAAGAAGAAGAGAGGCTGCTGGGAGCTGGTAGAAGCTGTTGAGAGCCTTTTCGAAGCTGAGAGAAGCTGTAAGGAGCTGTTGGTTATTTTGGAGGAGCTGGTCATGCTGGCCTTCCTGATGAACTTGGCTGTTTTCATCCTCTGAGAAGCTCAGGACCTTGTTGGCACTGAGAATAGATAGCTTCAGTTTACTTTAGGGGAGCTCTGGTCCTCACTTTGAGCATCACTTCCTGGCTTGGAGGGGAAGATAGTACACTGCTCAGTCTCCTGGAGAAGGTTGTCATGTTGGATTTACTGATGGGAACTCTGCTTTTCTCATCACTGAAGGAGCTCAGGACCTCACTGTTGTGAGGATGGCTGTGGTACTTTTTGGGGGAGCTCTGGTTCTTACTTTGAGCGTCATTTCCTGGCTCCAGTGCACATCCCTCAGCCTGCTAGCACAGATCCTTTATTCTGCTGGTACAGACTTCCTAGCTTCCACCACTGACCTTTGGGTTTTTCCAGCACAGATTACTATGAATTTTTGTTAAAGATAAGCAAAACTAATGCGTTAGTAATGATTGAGAGCAGACAAAAATATTCCTCACCAATGATATGTTCAAATATTCATTAGGCAAATATTTAGTACAATTCTTGAGCCCCGAATAAAGGATACAGCCATAAATCCATCCCTTCTCTGTCCCTTCCCTCTCTCCAACCTTTCTCCAACGGCCTATGTACTTGCATAGAGCTGTCAATGGTTTAATGGATTGGGCAAACAGGAAGGTCAAAGCCAAACTCTGATATGTCGTTGACATTTGCTGATAAATGTGTGCTAGGTGGTGGTGTTTTCTTTCTACCTAGAGATGCTCCACCCACCTTGGTGAGGAAAGAAAACTGGGGTGAGGTAGCCCTAATTCAGCCACCAGCACCCCTGTCTCTCTGCAAGTGTTGTGGGGAGGATATGTTGGTGAGTGTGTGGACTTGGCAGAGAACAGAAGGGATCCAGAGAGGTCTGCTTGCCAACTGAGCCACCAGGCCATACTCAGATGCCATCCCTACCCTCAGGAGAGGCAAGCCCACTGCCAGACCAGCTGGTCTACTTGAACACAATATTTGACATGGGTATCAAAAATGGTGTTTTTGGTGAGAGACAGGATGACTATCTGATCTATCATCCAAACCAGATATTGATCTATCATCCAAAGATGGCACTGTTGGTAAGCATGTCAGGTCGGCAGGCCTAAGTGGAGCTGGCTCTGAACAAGTGAGCACACAGGACCTTGCTAGTGGGAGGAGACCTGTTCAGTATGTCAGCCTATTCTCTCTAGTAGGTTTGCAATTACCAAGCCCTTGAAACATTTATAGCTTCCCCAAAGCTCCACCTCCGGGGCTACACTGCCTGGAAATGATTTTGAGGGTATATTTTGGGGCAAAACAGACTCAAAGAAAATGTCCTCAACTATAGGACATTCTGTAGTGATAACTACAGAAGTCACATTCCCACTGGCCTTCCCACTGTGGTTGCAGGAGATTCTAGAATTAGAAAAGAAACCAAAAAATGAAAGACCTGCTCTAAGGGCTTAATTTTGCCCTTCAGAAAACAAGCACACAAAGTGGCCCATGGGATCTTTCGGAAAGTTTCCCATGCATCTACCTCTTGTTCATTCTGTGTGCATTGATGGGTGCTACCTTATTTCACTTTATGAAAAAAGCTGTTTTATCTCTAGCCTGGAAACTTTGATGTAATTTGTCAACAGGAAGGAAGTCTGTTACATGGGACTTGCACATTATCTTTGCCGGAGCGCAGCTTGCTGACTAGCAACCGTCATTTTATGCTTGCATCTTTCTGTACTTGAAATATCTTTGATATATCAGCTCAAATAAAAAAGGCAGTTAGTCCACAGCTCAAACGCCCGAGCTGCTACGGGAAGAGACAGGGTTGTGGCCAGGGAGCAGAGGGAGTGTAAATAAAGTAAAGGCCTGGGCAGAGCTACAAGAAATATTTAGCATTCCTGGCTTCCCACAAAGGGTAGGTCAAGGAGAGGGAAGGAGCATTTGGGATGGAGTGTACACCACAACTATTCTTTTTCAGGCCTAACCCAGTCCACAGTATCACATAAACATCCCCAGTGGGAAGACCTTGAGTTTATTCCGCTGAGTGGCAAATGCTCAGGGTAATTACACATGATGCCTGT